ATCCCTATTAGGTTGGAGGCCAATACTACCAGTAGCAAGAAGCTACTGGTAGCAAGAAGCTACTAGGTGGAGGTATATTTTGGAAGCTCCGCCTTCCTTTTTTGAGCCTCTCCTTCCTAACGTCGACCGAGGCAGACTGCCGAGGCGCCGTGCTGTGCGTCGGTCGTCGCGGCGGTCGCCGAAACGAGGGCGATAGCCGTAGGTGAGGAATGGAATGAGGTCCAGCCAAAAGACTTCACGGAGAAAAGTCCCACGACCTCTTCTCTGACCGCTTCGGAGATATTTTGTTTGACCATTGAAGACATATCGGCAAAACAAGGGCATTCAAGCATGTCCAACATGTACTACATAATCTACATGTTTACCACTTCCATTAGCCAAATGGAAGGAGAGTGCTTTGAAACGGATCGATGTTGTTGAAGGCCCACGAAGGAAAGACCGGGCAAAGAAAGATGCATGGCTTGCGTACAAGGCGCAGGTCTCGAGCTGAACTGGCAACTTCCAAGCCAAATGCTGATGTGCCAGCAGCACCAGGCTCACTTTGCCGCCAACTCCATCAATGTTGGGATCCAACAATCTCAGCTGCGTCGTCAGATCAATGAGAATGCACAAGTGGTGAGGGCTTTAGCAGAAGGCTTAGCGTTACTTGACAGCAGCCGACACAGCAGATCAAGGTGCGTGGAGACATTGTGCACAAACTTCACGATGAGGTCCTTGATTGCACAGGCAATCTCAGGACTGCTGGACTGAGCCTGCACATCGCGAGGGAACGGCATGACCTTGGCCACATCGTCAAACCGTTTGACCGCAGAATTCTCAGAAGACGCCTTCGTTTGAAGGACAAGTGCTTGAAGACTCATTGGAGAGGGAGCTCACTCTTGTTGAGACCAACACCAAGCAAAGCAACCAAATTGTGAAGAAAATCCTGTGACGCTGTTTGGGTCCACTAGAAACAATAGTTTCCTCTTGCCTGGGTCAAGACCGTGGTGCAGTTAACCCCGCAAGAAATGACTCGGGACATTCCACAGTCGACTCAGTCGACTAGGATAAGATGTTCTCTATTATATCATATTACATGTGTTTAATTGAGTATAGGTTGATTCTTTTGTCATGGCCACCAGCTGAAAATGTTCCCGTTGTATTCTACTGTTACATCATGTATCATACCTACCTTCATCAAGAACTTCCATACGTTCCATGCAGCCCAGCAGCCCAAAGCGCTCCTGCCAAGTCTCGCGCCGGAAGCCTTCGAAGGGTCAGCTGGGTGGCATCCACCTCACGCAGTAAGGGACGCTCCGCGTGTGGTGGCACGTCACATCCTAGACACCCAAGACACCCTCGCGACATCAAGTAGAGAGAGCGATTTGTGTGTGTGGTGTGTGTTCTAGAGCTGTACCTGGGCCAAATCAATGTATATAAATCGATGTACAGCATAGTGACTTAGTTGGAGCCATCTTTGCTTCACCCTGCCTTGTTCAAGACTTGCACACCCAGGGGCTCAAGAAAGCTTTTCGACTCCAGCAGCTCCTTCCAGCGTTCGGATGCTTTCAGCAAATCGCGACTTCTATTTTGGCCCAATCTGCAACTAGTAGCGATGCACTTGTAACTAGTAGCTTCGCGGGTTCTTGTTACTCGTAAGGCACCTTGTTACTAGTATTAGTAGCGATGGCCTCCAACCCAATAGCGATGGCCTCCAACCTAGTAGCTTCTTGCTACTAGTAGTAATTCATGCACTTGTTACTAGTAACTAGTAGCGGCTTAGTAGCGATGCACTCAGTTGGTGACAACTGCCAACATAATCTTCCAACTGTGCAACAAATTTCTGCCTTAAAACCAGCCCAAAAAAGGCAGAGATGAGATGTTGCATAGTTGGAAGATCCAGGTATCGCAAGCCCAGAAGTACAATTGTGTAACGGTGTTTCTAACTTCACAGACCTCGTATCTCACAACTCCGTTGTGCTTCGCACAACTGCCAGTTTCGGTCTTTCTTTGCCCGCATCAAACCTTCCCATTGGACCACCCCAAAGAGGTCCGCAGGCGTCCTGCTGCATGCGCGTCGAATCCGGCCATCGCAGTTCAGTCGTCCACCACTCCAATGGCGCCAGGCCGCCCAGCCTGGCCTTCACCAACTTGGCCGCGGCCACGGTAAAGAGGTGCCTCGACATTGGACGAAATGGGCTCAAAGCAATCCTTTCATTTTGGCCCCTGAAAAGACTCATTGGAGAAGAAGGCAACCCGTAAGAACTGGGTGCCACTAACGGATTATGGGCTATGACCTTAAAGATGATTTAGATTTGGTTAAAAAAGGCGAACACGGCTGGTGCCAAGCTTGGTCGGTGACTCTTTCCGCGGTCCGAGGGCAAATCCACCTGAACACCAAATTGCCACCATGGGGGATTCAATGCTTCCCGTTCTGTGATGCCAGAGGTTCCTAACAGCTTGAACATACAAATCACAGGCAAAAACCAAGGCCATGAATGAACTGGATGCATTTCCACTGTGACGAGGCGCGTATACTCACCCACAAAGAGGAGCCGCTTGGCCCGCGTCCCAGCAATGAGCAGATCTGGGATCTTCCTTGGTAAAGAGCAAGGCAATGAATGGTCGAGTCGAGAGTGGTTGATAATTGACACCGATCCAAAGATTGTGAACATCCGTACTGTACTATCTTGGCCATTGAACCAGACCTTCATTCATGACTAGCAAACAGCACCTTCGAAAGCATTCTCACATCTACCAGCAAATCAACTATGCGACGTGGACAGTAGCTTGGGGACTGACAAACATGGACGAAAACCATTGTATACCTGCAAACCTGCAGAAACGGCAGCAGCTCTGGCATCCAAGTGCCAATGTCAAGACAACCGCATCCATAAAGATTCAAAGAACACCATGGTACATCGGCCGCGAAAGCGGTCAACAGCGGGATGAAGCTAGAGCATCGAGAGCACTCGGGCCAGTGACATCTCCACCCAAGGTCTCAAGAAATCCATATAACACTCGACACTGCGGTGAGAGTTCTGACTCATCGGCGCAACGAGTCAACAACCCTCAAGCACCCCAGAATGCCTTTTCCGATTTCCAGCTATCTAGTGGCTGCCTTTGATGGCTTGAGGCACTTTTAGATTAATAACTTTATAATTTATAGCGTTTAAAATTTTACAATAAGACAACATAACAAAACCGAACTTCAAAACTGTTCACTAATCTCCTTGGCGAGCTTCAGAAACTCCTCCTCGCTTCGCCCGGCTGAACTGGTCACCACTGTGCTTCTGCTCTGCGTCCGGCCGCGCTCGGGCTGTGGTGCTGCTGGAACACTGGGTGGAGGCGTGGCCGGCAGCGTCGGCGCCGCGCGGACGTTGTTGAGAGCACTGCGTGTGCGTGGACGCTGTGGGATGCTGCTCAAGGAAGACAAGCCCAATTTCCTGCACAACTTGTTGCAGACGTGCATGGATCTGAAACGCTGCATCGCTGCAGATCCTAAATCTGCTGCACCGAAGGATTGATCCAGCGAGAGAATTTGAGGATCTGTCAAGTGAACGCGCTTTGATCCGAGCAAGACTCCTTGCAGGTCGGCTACCATCATTTGGCCTCCGCTGTCATCCAAAGAGAAGTGGGCAAAGGCTTCAGGGACCATGCTGTAGTTGGAACTACCTTCTGGGATCAAGATCTCACCGCGATTGTTGATCCATTTCAAGAAGCCCCGCTGGGATCCTTCCAAGAACGCCTCTCCGGTGAAAAGCATGCCCTGCACCTCGTAGACAAAAGACTGTGTGCATTTCACCATTCGAGGAGGCTCCCAGTCATCACCGGAATCAGCCCAGCACCGCCACAACACGGCCTCGTGAAACTTCTGGCTGAACTTTCGAGTTTGGATCGTGCTCTGTGCAAAGCCTTTGATGAAGTCCCAGGAGTTATCATCTCCAACATACCTCGAGAACTTCGCGACCATCTTTGTTGGGAGATCCTGATCTCGGAACCGATGCACCAATCGCATGCCACCCTGCATGAACGGATTGTCGTGCAAATACACGATGCACTTCTTGCTTCTACTTTTCATGAGTTGTCCACCACGTAGGACGAGAGTGGTGCGCATCCCAGCCTTGGCCTTCTTCTCCTTGATATTGTCATTGTTTCCTGAAAAGCGCTTTGCGCTGTCGAAGGCCACCTGCCTTGTGTGGCGCTCCCGGCGGTGCACAGTGCTCCGCGTTTCGGTGATAGTCTTGCTGACAGTTGTGAAAGTGTTCACGAGACTGTCAATATCCATATCTGCACAGTTGAAACTCCCTCGGCCAATCTGCGCCAACTGCTGGAGGATCGAAAAGTCGCAGTTGCCGAAACCGATGCAGTGGAGAATGACATGGGGATTTTCGGCTGCCACAGCCTGAAAGCTCGGTAGCACATGCCTCTGTAGGCCTGTAGGGCAGCCATCGGATAGGAATATCACGCGGCAGACTTGCCCCGGCACTGCTAACTCACGTATGCATCTCACAATCTTGTCGTAGACCATGGCTCCGTCAGGGGTGAAGTCAATCGAGCCCAACTTTGCAATTGCCTCTGAAGCTCTGAGTCGATGGAATCTCACCTCATGCTTTGACGTCGCAAAGGTAACCAAGCTGTACAAATCCATCGCAGCTCCCATGGACTGCTGCTGTGCAATGAAACGCTTGAGGACCGTCACCACGGCATCGATTCGCCGAAGTTCCGGGCGGCCTGTGAAGTCTGTTCTGCTCATGCTGCGGGAGAGATCCACGAAGAACATGATGGAGATGGATTGGTCAATAGCACTGGGCTTTTCGAACGCTTTCAACTCGCCAAGACCATCTCTCGCTTCATCTTCCGAAACCTCTGAATCCAGCGAAACGTTGCCTTAGCATCACTGCACTCGAGATCAAGGGACTGGCAGGCTGGTGTACCCTCTCCGTCATGAGACAAGAATGTGAAACAATGATGCTTTCCGCTCTTGTGGCACATATCCACTGCGTCGCTTGAAAGGCTTGTAAATGCAGATTCAGGCCTGTGTGTGTGTGTGTTTGTGTCTCAAAAAGTTGATTGGATCTGTTATGGTGATGTTCAACCATGGAGCCGGAGACAAAATAGAAACCCGCAATCCAGGGGTGTAGGGTGAGACCTGGTTTGGGGCAATCATTCGAACTTGGAAGTGCAAACTTAGGATCCAGGCTTCGCTAAATCATTGCATGAGTTCCACTAAGACTGGGTATGCTAGCCATCCTGCAAAGGCCCGGGCTAGCTTCAGAAGCTGCATCCAACCATTCATCCAACTCGTGCTCGGGTAGCCTGGCGCCGTCTTCGCTGGCAGCGCTGAAAAAATCCGCATCATCCTCCCGATCTGCAGCCCGTGCCATGAGACGACAGGCGAATCCTGCCAAGGCTCAGCACCCTTTGTAGAAAAGCCAAGATATGGTAAACACTTGGATACTAAATTAGAAAATGATGTAATGCTGCTACCGCTACGACTGCAGTCTACAGTCGAACTGCGGCCAATGAGATGTCTTTGTTGCATGTTGCTGGTAAGGCTTGTTGCTTGACCTCTGGTCTGTGTTTTCTGCAACTCTTTGGCATGCTGAAATGGCTGCGTGACCCCGTCTCCTTTGATTCCAACCAACCAAGCAAGAGACCAGTCAAAGGTGCAAGCAACTTGCGCATCGATCTCTAAACAACGCCCCTCTCCCCCTCTCCCGCTCTCCAGTGACCAGGAAGACCGGCGTTGGTTTCCGAGGTGCTACCGACCAGGAAGAGAATTGCAGCAGTGAGATCCACCAGGTCGCGGCTGTCCGGGTCCTGTCGTAACAGCGAGACCTCCGTCCGCCCCACCAGGACCAACCGGTCGCCTTCTCTGCCGTGGCCTGCCAATGGACGAGGGACCTGGGGTCGTTGGTGGGAACAGCATCCGTTCACCAGCACCAAAGAGTAGGATGAACACCTGATAATGGTAGGCAGTAGGGGTGGCTCCCATTTATAGAGCTACGAAACTATTCACATTCCTTGCATTGGATGAGAGAAAAGAAACTGAAACGGGGTCAATGAACGTGATATGCATGTTCAGAATGTGGAAATGATTACAAACGCATTGATATGCATTGATACCAAGCACATGGGCAGCATGACGGTTTCTTTTCCCAAAAATAAATCTCGCTAAACTACCCCGGACGCAAGGCGTTGAATAGCAAGTTGTGAATCAAATACCATACATGGATATACATGGTCAAGTCTTGGCTTCTTTTAGCACCCAATTTCCAGAATGAATGTCATTCTGAAGACTTTTGAGCAAGTTTTTTACCAGTTCTCCACATCTACGGGCAGGAACTCTCTTGCTAGTCTCTCACCAAAGACCATGTGACTTGCACCTTCCACCACACTCAAAACACAGCTAAGCTTCACCTATCACGATGGACAAATCAGCAAAACCTGAACCGCACACAATCTGTTGAAACACCTGAGCATGCATGCACGCATGCATGCCATTCACATGTCCAACACATTTATCCCCGAGAAGTCTGAAAACACAAATGTGCATTGAAGAATCTGATCACCATATGAATCATATCATATATGCATACATTTCACACCTTAGGGTGGAGGCCATCGCTGCCAGGGTCCTGGTTTCTTTACCCATCACAGATCTACCGTACCCAGTGGTCTGCCGCCTTCGAAAGCCCTGCGGCTGGAGCGATGGGCGCCTTTGGAGACTTCGCCGACCTGGACGTTTGGAGACGTGACCGGTGGAATACCAACTGCATTGGGCTTCCAACCTAATAGCTTCTTGCTACTAGTAGTAACAAGTGCATCGCTAGTAGTAACAAGTGCCTTACTAGTAGTAACAAGAAGCTAGTAGAAACAATAAGCTAATAGCTTCTTGTTACTAATAGTAAGGCCAGGAGCCCCTAGTAGCGATGCCAGGAGCCGCTAATAGCTTCTTATTACTAATAGCAATGGCCCCCACCCCAGAAGCGATGGCCTCCACCCTATGTTTCGTCCTTTCTTTGGTGCCTTTGGAGGCCGGAACTCGTCCGCCCAGGCCGACGAGCGTGGCGATCTTTTCAGGCCGTCTTCGTTGATTTTCACTGTGCATGTTTCGGTGATCTCACCGCGCCAAGGTTTCTACCAGATGCTCCCTTCAGCCAGGAGGCTCCGAACGGCCCTCGTTGATGATGACCTGGCTCCGAGCGGGCATATGCGGGCATCGGATCAAGCTTCAATGCATAATCAAACTCCTCACTTGACAGTGGATATCGGTTCTCAATGTTTTGCATACCCTATATAATTTTGACACATGACAAAGCTCTTCATCCTGCTGTTTTGTTGTGTTCCTTGTTGCTTGCTCAAATGTGTTTAGGCATCAAAGGAGCTTGGAGATTGCTCCCAAATGAAAGACTCAATGCAGACGCTCGTGAGACACGCAGGATATTGTAAATCTGAAAGTATCATAAACTAATGTCTGCACCTGCGACCATGGCGGCCGCCCTTTCTTCGCAGAATATGCTGCACTTTTAAACGTTGTGCCACGTTGTGCTTCTAAACGGTGTGCAACTCACTTTTGACATCGCCTCCTCACTTTCGGACTTGGGCGCTGCGGCACCTGTGACCTGCCGACTGAAGCTCAAAAAGTCCTCGTATCAATAACGGCAAAACTATCCAATTATTGTGGCATATTTGTACAATTTTATGCCTACATTAACCACTGAAACCACCCCAATGTATACAGATCGATAAATATGCCACACACGGTGTATACATGGATGGTCTGGGTACTTATAGCCTATTTATGCCCATTTTGATCTATTTTGCCCATCTGATTGCTGAAGGACACACACCGAGAAAAAACGGGTTTCAGATCACCTCGATGGATGCCACCCACCGCAAGGCCATCGCAGCCACGGGTCATGGCCCCTGTTTTTCACCGCGGACATCGTGGCATCGGGCTTTTGCCGGGCAACTTCGAACTTTGACGGGCAAAATGGTTCGGCGTGAAAAGGGTCGCTGCCTCGTGAGCGACGCATCTCCCTTAGAAAATCACACGCAGCGATCCTTAAAGGCCTACCACGCCGGTCACGAGCTGAGCTCGTTGGGCTTCCTGGCCGGGGAAAAGGCGAGATGGGCTCTGACCCCCTATTTTGGAACCGCACTCCGTTGTCATGGCCTCCCACGTTGTTATTTCTTGTCATTTGCAGAAAAGGAACTGAGTGAATGCCTTTCACTGTCATGTAGCTCGGGCAGCTCATGTCACACTGGTCGAAGAGTCACGTCTCTTTTATATACATGTTTGTCCATAGATTCCGTTGTTCTGGCCTCCACGGCGGCCCGCATCCGTTGTGCGATCAGCGTGCTGTGCGTCACATGGTCGGGCGCCTGTGCTGGGCGTCCAATTCAGCGTCTGGGTCCAAAGGAATGAGCTGGTGAGTTCAAGTTCACGCAAAGTGTAGAGTCAACTGAAACAACAGGTTCTGTCGACCTTCCTTCTGCTGTAGAATTACTGTAGATCCCAACTTGATTTCAAACCTGAACTTCAACTGCTGAGAATGGAAGGCAATTCTTTCATTGCCATGCTGGAATGAAGCATTATTTAAAGAATATGTGCCAAAATCTCACGCAGGAGTGCTTGCACCATGAAAAATGCAGCACCTAAAGCAATTGCATTCATCATCACTTTCAGTGAGTTCTTGCTCACTGAAACCAGAACAGCGTTGCATCCAAGGCACCAAGCGGAACTGGTCAATGTTGCTGAACATGTGGAAGGCCTCGCCACAGTGACTTTTGGAGACCATCTGGAGGTGCTTTGAAGTCGGAGCAGCTACCGTGGATGTGCTGTGAAGTCGAGATTGTCTATATTAATTTACGGCAAACTAAGTTGCTTTCTTGAAAGGGCATGTGTTCCTTTCTCGGGAGTAATGGTCTATGATCGATGGTGGTCTTGAGCAACCCTCACAACTAGATACTTCACAAAACATTCACAGACCCACTCATCCCCCTTCGGCCCCCGCAGGTCAAGTCCAGAAGGCCAGCAAGCACGGTGAATGTGCAAATGGTCGCTCGCGACTCGCTCCGAGAAAATCAGAGCTGCCATCAGGTGCTCCAAGCAGTAGGTTGGAGGCCATCGCTAGTACGTAGGTTTCCTGTTTGGCTAAGTCGCCGCCGCAGACTTCACCGGTCTCGCCTCTTGCCATTTCGGACCGCTGGCCAGTGCAGAGATCACGTTGTTCACGCTGTGCATATCTGGCAGTGGCAGTGAAGGAAACGGGGGTAGAAGAAACGGCCAACAGGGATTCATCCAAGGGCAGCGAGCAGCGGTGCAAAAATCAATCCATAATGGAATATATGCGCAAGAGCCAAAAAGGATAATGAGCTCTCCAGTTCTCCCTGTTCACTTCGAAGAAAGGTCTACAAATGCTCCAACACATCGCCACTCACATCAGTTGGGAGTTCTTGTTCTACACCGTCAGAGAGGGGGTCGATCCGTCTCCCTCGGCCTGGGTCGATTTGCTTCGACATCATCGTGGTCAGTAGATCACCTCGAGGGAGGCCAAGTCCCGAGGACCGACCGGTTTGGTCGGTGCGGGACTCAACCCACTTGAAACCTATGACTCGATCAGTGGAATCTATCATCCCCAGTACACGCTGAACAGGAAAAAAAAACGTTTAAAGGTGTCTGAACATATCTGAAACCACCAGATAACGCCTGATACCGTGCCGGTTCTGACGTCTGCCATGGAATGTTTGGTCTGGTATTCTATCTTTTATACCTCCAGTTTTGCAGTCTTCCCAGGCTAACCAGCCTGTTGCATGAATTCCTCTGATCCTAAGGATCCTCGAAAACTAAGTCAGAAGCAAGCGCTCGAGGAAAAAGACAGCGACAGTACCAGGGAAACACCATCTCTTTGGGTCATGGACAAGAAGCCTCGGCAAGCCAAACGTAACTTGCACTGGAGGCTGTCATCTTTCATCTCTCTCCACATTCGGTCTGCCCTGATCAGTGGATGCCGACCAGTGCTTGCGAAAAGGTCCCGTAAGGGGGACCCTTCCCAACTTAATGACCTGGGCTACAGGTAATGTAGACTCTTGATTCATGAACCCGCAAACATGGATTGCAAAACCTCTTCAGGCTTCGAGGAGGGTGTTATTAATCAAGAGTAAACATCCTAGACTCCCAAGACCATTCAAAACAATCGATGACTTGGTCTTGTAGTGTAAAACTCATTATAAAACAATAATCATATTAAAAGCCTATTAAATTTGCAAAATTAATGGTGGGCCAGGAATCCAAATAGGTCGTAGAGGTACATGAATCCATCCAAGCCACAAGTCATCTCCCAACCTCGATGGCCGCTCGCGCGAACGCGCGGATGTGTGTGGGTGAACGCTCTCCTCGGCTTGAACCTGGTGGCCAAACAGAAAAGGACGGCACACGGGCAAACGGCCCTGATTTGCAGAAAAGGAAACTTGAACGGGTAGGGTAAGGGCAATCAACATGGTGTTGATTAAAAAGGAGTACGGAAGAAATGATTACTCTCTGCCAAGTTCCAAGTAGTGGCCTCCCATTCATGCATACAGTCTTCAACGAGTGGTTATTCACTGGAGCTCCAGCTATCATGTTGGGTTGCCGCATTCTGCGCTTGCACCTCCCGCCAGATTCCCTGGCGCCAAGAAACAGCTGACACTTGTACACGCCGACATCACCGTGGTGTAGCTATACAAGTCGGCGGTCAAGCCATAGTCGGGCATTCGGCCTGCAGGAGCTCCATGCCAAAGTCAGAAAGATTCACGAAGAGCAAACTAGGAGCAAGGACGCTACTAGGGGCTCCTGGCCTTACTACTAGGAGCCCCAAGTCTTCTCACATTGACATCTGAGAGCTCATACGCAAATGTGCGCAAGTGCTGGAGAACCCCACTCTGTGCAACATCAGATTCATGTTGAGGTTCCAATTCAGAGTCAACCGAAAAAGCAAAAAGCTACTGATTCTAGATCATGGTTTGACATGTGCGAAACTGATGATTCTTGAGGTGAATAAATCTGCTTCTGGCACCTCCCCTTCACCCAATTCTGGCCTAAAAGCCGTTGGGCTGCCACGTGGTGGGAGCCGGTGCACAAGGCGTGAAGCACAGAGTTTAGGGTCACCACCTGACTGGCCGTGTTTCTTTTTTTGCCCGTGGCCCTGCCTCCTTACTTAATCAAGTAGAGACTATCTATATCTACCTATACTAAAATAAGTAAGGGCGACTAGTTAGCTACTAGCTTCGCTACTAGCTTCGCTACTAGCTACTATAGGAAGCTTCTAGTAACTGGACACAAGATAGCTCACGCTTCCTTGAAGAAGAATGATTTGGTTTCTAGATGTTTGTTCATCATGGATGGATGGATGGATGGACGGACGGACGGACGGACGGATGGAGGGAGGGAGGGAGGGAGGGAGGGATCGATGGAGAGAGCGACGGGCGTTGGGTGAATGGCTCCTGGATTCGTTGGTGGCTTCTCTGGCAGTTCATGAGTTTGAAATGATTTGTGGGGCTCGCAAGGAGACCCTCGGTCGTTTTCGTCATGCGTGGCAGCAGTGCACACCTCCAATGCCCTCCAGATTCTGAGCCCTGCACATTGGGAACAATTTTCTGATTCAACTCGTGCAAGACCTGCAAGCGCAAACCCATACAACACAAGCTTCACAACCCACGGAAACCACAATGCTTCTCGTCATTCCGTTATTTTTGTTTTAATGGGAGCGGTCGCCCAGCGAGTCTCCAACTTGCAAGGCCAGAGATTGCACCAAGCTGCGCACCACTGCATGGGGGTAGAACTCCTTTGGTTTCCATCGCTACTAGATTGGAGGCCACGCTATTAGGTTGGAGGCCACCGCTATTAGGTTGGAGGCCATCGCTACTTGGGCTCCCTACGTATGTCGACGATTGTTCAAAAAACTTGTCTCTCTTCTCGCATGGGTACGAAACATGCTGGAACTCTGTATCATGCCAGTATATGAGGAGTGGGCCATCAATACCTCTTTGCTATTTGCCCACATGCTCTAACAAAGCTGCAAAATGCCCTCAAAAGCACACGTTCATGCAATTTCATGTACAAAATCTCCTGAAACGACACTTCCCTCCAGGTGCCTGCAGTGCCAGGCTCCATTCGGAGGCCTCGGCGAAGGCATAGAGCAGGGCGTTGTAGGTCACCAAGGTCGGTCTGCCGGGAACGGTGACGCGTCGTTGTTTGGCGGCGAAAAGGTTCAATAGCATGCTCCTAGAAGCGTCCTCTTGCTCCGTTCGTAGCGATGCCAGGAGCCCCTAGTAGCTTCTTGCTCCTACTGTCCCCGTTTGCATCCTTCCATTTGACAGCAACTTGAAATGCATGGGGAGTTCGTGCTGGAGATGGTGGAGGATCTGTGGGGAGAGAGAGAGAGAGAGCTTTATGTGCACTGCACTTGTTTCTCTCTGAACACGAAACTGGAGTTCGGTGGTCCAATCCTCACACTTTTCGGTCTGCAAGGAACGAGTGAGTTGTACATTTGTCCTTGTGGCCTTCTTGGCAAAGGATCGCGTTCTTTGATGTTGTTTGTAGACCAAATGAAGCTTATTGCCTTCGGGCGAAAACGCGCCTGGACGTCTCCTGGAAGACATGCAGCGCCTGCGGCCAAGCGATGGCGCGGCCGCAGGCGGTGATCGCCGAGTTGGTGATCTTCACGTGCTCCGCCTCCGCCAGACGCCGCGGACGCCGCGGACGGCGAATCTTCACGGCGGATGCGAGGCGCTGTTCGGTGTCGAGGACGGCTGATCTGGGAGGGGGTGTCAACCTGATTGTGATGGGGAGTATCAACCTGAGCCTCGCTTCGACCATTCAAAGGAAGGTTGAGGTGCCTTTTCTCTTCATCCTCAAGAACGATGGCTGTTCGGTAAAGTGAATGAAAATCTATGAAATATTATATGGTGCTTGGAAGTCTACATAGTCTGATAACGTCGAATCCTGAAACCAGTGAGGTCCAAAGGCCAAGGGTCCAAGGGTCGTTGACCCCAGAGCCGAGCATGTCAGCTGAATGGAGTCCATCCACCCCTCCATGGTGCCCTTTCCCTGAGGGAACCCGGGAAGAAACGGCGTCCAGAGCTGGTTGACTTGCTTTTAATTTGAAAAAATGCTCCAACGTGACTCAGACACGGTGTCATTGTTTCCCTTTTTGACGGGAAACGACACTCCCTGGAATCTCCTGGAATCATCATGGAAATGGAAAATGCCCCCTTGGATGACCGTTTTCCTCTACAAACAGGTGGTTTCCCACTTCCATGCACATGATCCCAGGGTAGGAACAAAGGGCATCGTTACTAGGAGCAAGCCAGTAGCTCCTGGCATTCCTAGTAGCAAGAAGCTACGAACGGAACCAAGGGCATCGCTACGAACGGAGTGTACTTGGCCTGGCCGTTTTGGTCGTTGGAGGTGCCATGGCCTGGCCGTTTCGGATCTCGGGCAACATCCGCCTGGCGTTCGTCGATGTCTGTCTGCTGCTCGACCAGCTGCAAGGCTTCCTCCCACCTCAGCTGCAAGGCTTCCTTCCGAGGAAAACACTGTCTTCTCCGCCCTGGAAACAAAGAGATCCAGCAGAAATTGATTGGGGATCAGTGATTTGGTTGGAACATCAAATATCCCTTTTGATTGACCTAAAGACCGCTGTCACCAAGGCAAGGATGCAGGCTGACCATGTCCCAAACATGACTAACCTCCAAGAAATGGGACATGTTTTTACTGTACATTTATACTGTTTTATGGAAAGTACTCCTAGAGTCCTAGAGTTTCTGAAAGGGATAGCCTCCAACCTAATAGCGATGGCCTCCAACCAACCTGGAAACGATTCCAAGTTGGCTGGACCATGTTACACAGTATACTTTGCTATGTGAGGAGGGGCTTTCCCCTGGTTACGGGCAGCAAAACAGCTGCTTGCCCCAACGCATCCCACAGCCAGAATTGCCGGTGAATGGATGAAAACCGTGGCACCCAAAGGAACAACGTGAAGCTTCAAACGATGCACTCCTTCATTCGCTCCAAAGTTGATGGCTGAACCGTCTTCTTCGTGGCTCAGCCGTTCACACGTTCCTTCTTGGCAGCATGGTCAATACTTGTTCGTAGCTCCTGGTGAAATGCCTGAAGGCCTCAACCACTACATGTGAAAGAAACATCTACGCACCACCACCTCACAAACATGTCCAAAAAGGGCCTAGGTATGTTGGTATGTTGTTTTAGACTCTACTACTCATGCAACAAGTAAAAACACCGAACGCAGTTTTTGCTTCTTTCTGTGTTTTCCTTCTTTGTCTCTTGGACACCTTGTCCTTTCTTTGTCCTTCGTTCCTAGATGTTCCAAAGCAGCACGTCTACCGTCGCTCCCTCTCTCGCTTCCCCAACCGGAACCCCCGACCGGCTGCAGCCAGCAAAGGCGGAGAGCAAGGCGATGTAGGTGACCTCGGACGTCGGACGACGGTCGCCGTCGCGTGGCGTTTTCCACCGGCGTTTTTCGTGGAAAGAGGGGTCTCTTCCGAACTTGTCTTGCTGATTATAATTTGCGCGATTTGTATATATATGATTAAATTGAATTTGAATTAGTTTCTAATGGCTTCTTGCTCCTAGTAGTACGGCCAGGAGCCCCTAGTAGCGATGCCCTTTGCTCCTAGTAGCGTCCTCTAGGTTTCCTAAATATAAACATAGTTTGAGGACTTCTTTTTCTAAAGATCTCGACACATCTTGTGATGCTCCCACTTCCGAGAGCTGATGGAGAGGCGGACCGTCCAGCGCCGCAGTGGGAAAAGTCGAAAGCCACCGGGTGCGACCATCGGATGGTTGGTCAATGAGTCAATAAAAGAAATTGGTGTTTGTTTACTTGAATAGGGAGACACAATCTGGGTAGACATGTTGTTTTCCAAACCTTCCAGAGTGTTGTTGCCTGGGATGTCGACACTCTGTATAATACATACCAGTCTCAAGGTTCAACACCTCAAGGGAACGGCTGACGGAGTAGGCAACACATTTGGCACAAAGGATTGCCAACAGCATCCAAATACGGAGACCTACGTTAATTAGTTTTCCAGTCAGAAACA